CAGTATGGATGTAGCATGTCTGGGAATGTATTTATACTGCACACCTGCATACCTCGTACTTCATTAACTGTTAAGAAGTTAATTCTTCGTTGAACAGCACCTACTCTGAAAGTATGAGTCTGGATGCAGCTCCTGTGATTTCTGGACCAGGCTCAGCACATAAGTAAGGCCTTCCCAGGGGGAAATTCCCCTGAAATTTGCACATTTAAATGGTGGCTTAAATAGTGGTCATATTCTTCTCATTGCCTGTGTTTAGCAAACACAGGCTTGGCGTGGTAGGCCTCTCCAGTGATTTCCCCCAAAGCGACGGGATCTTTCCCACTCTGCATGCTCTAGTCGCTACATGATATATACTGCATGCAAGTTGTATATCGTAAAATGAGGAGTGTAAACTCGAACAGGAACTCCGCTGGGTGGCTTAAGTGGTGATGTGTAATCGGCAATAAATCCAGTCCTTGGGGGGTCTGTACAAAAAGCTGGAGGAGGAAACCATCTGCCATCTGTGGTCCTTTTTTGTGGGTTGAGGCATCGGTATCAACAGGTTTCTTTCTGTCTGGAGTTGAGAGACGCACAGAAGAGGAAGGAAGGCTCCTGCTGAACACTGAGGATGGCACCACAACAATACAGCTTACACAGATATGAGTCCTATGAAGTGACTCACTGAGTAGTTATGGAACATTAGCTCTGATCCAAAACCCTGCTGTTTACTGTCTACATAAGCAGCTACCTTCTAATGCAGCATCTTAACTGAAATGGAACGTCATAATATGACTCATTTGAAACACTGACTCATGATTCCAAAAAGCATGTAGCTACGCTAATGACACAATCCGCAAATAAGCATAAAAATACATAAATACTGGCTAAAACTGTCAATTTTCTTCTTGAGTGAAATAATGAACGAAATAAAAATTCATAATCAACATTTCGCTCAAGTTTTAGACCATCTTGTTTTTTTGCAATGCATCCTGGGATTATCTTTTCCACAAGGATACATGTGATTCTTCGTTTTAGGACTAAAACAAAGTATCTTAAAAGGTAGCATAGACAGTATTTTATCTTTTGCCAATATGATGCCTTAAAACGCAGTTGAGGTAGGCAGCACGGTAAGAATAATAATGCATTGTAGTTGACAGAAAACGCTCAAACACAATAAGGACTGAATGATAGAGTTTATATACATACAAAGGCAAAAGCTGAATACAATACGCCTTTTTGTTATTTTTCATTTTCTTTTTACAGAAATCTTTTATCTTTTCCACACAGACGTAAGGCAGTATTTTTTGTGAACATGAAAATATCATTAAAAAAAAAGACATGAAAGATGACCAGCTTTGGGTTAAAGTTGACATTTTCCCCATTTATTTTTCTTCATTAAATGAAAGGGGAAAGGCCGAGAATCCTCCTTGACAGTGTTTCTGTGTACTGTGTAGAAAAAGAGCATGAATCATTAGAAAAGATAGACCCTTGCTGTAACAGAAGGCAGGGTTGCTGGAGCCAAGAGAGCATGATGTGGATGGGGTGATATTGAGGTCTGACACTCTCTTAGAATAAAATCCAGAGGGAAAAAATATAATAAGTGCCAACTACAAGCCTGACATATTTTCTCAAATAGGCACACAGTCTAGAAAATGACTATGTTATCACATACACATTTCTGAGTCGAAATGAAGATTAGGTCCTTGTGAATAATGCTGCTTCATTCAACTCAGATACTCGAACAAGTCTATTACACACTTAATAAAGGCGTCCGTTCTGGTGCTTCATCTAGCTGGACTCCAGCAGCTAACCGAGCACAGCAGGCCTGGTTTCGGTTTGACCTTTTATTGTGTCAATTAAGGTTTAAAGGTTTAAATATAACGCAAACATGATATAAACAGTAAAAGGTCACGTGACCTGGCTTTGGTTGCTGATGAACGACAGGCAGGTTATTATTTGTGGCACTTTCTTGAGCAGACTAGCTTCGTTTGGCACTGAATTCGCTCAGATGGAGAACGGAAAGTCAGACATAAACTTGCCAAATCCTTCAGCCGATGTTTTATGTGGTTTCATGCTTTAAACAGTCTCAGTCCATCAAACTAAGTGGAGGGAAGTAATGCATGAAAAATGTGGACGTGTTGACGGACTGTTTGGGTAAATAATGACTATTCAAGATGAGTTAATAAGTAAACAATTTAATAGGCAATCTACTTAGGACGCCATAAAAACTTTAAGTGTGTTTACACATGCGATAAATTACTACGAACAAAAAATGAGGCTTCGTGTCGAGTGATGCTGATCATCTGACCAAAACGGTCTACACAACACGGTTATTATCTCCTGAAAATGCACGAATGATGCTAATCTAAAATAACACTGACTTTCCAGCAACCCAGAGTGCTATCAGAATCACAGTTCTCAAGCAAAGGTCTCTGCATCCCTCAGTCCACTCGAAACACGGTCACGGATGTTTCTCCAAGCCCAAGAATAGATATACATGTTTTGTAATGCAGTTTTCAACATCGCAATCACGCACACTATCAAGGACTGAAAAAAGAAGAAATAAAATTACTGTAAGATGAGCTGGAATCAAAATCGAACAAGATGCGGAGAAGATAGAAACAGCACATCATCAACCACATGGTAACAACTTTGAAAATCTTTGTTAACAGCTTTGATTTGACACTTAGAAAGGCTTTGCTTTTTCTTTAATATTCATTTCAAGACAAATGTTAGTGTTACTAGTTCATTCTTTTATTTTTTTAAATAGCTGACAGCCATTTTGTTCAGACGGATATATTCTCTTCCCCAGACGCTTGTGCAAATTGTTCAACTAAGTCTAGGTTCAACCATCGACATATATAAATATAGATTCCTGTATATGCATGTGTGTATGAAACGTCTCTGGCAGTGTTCTCACAGTTCTTCAGTAACGAATAAAAGACGATTAGAACATCTGTATGACAAAACTCAGGATCACTACTGATTAACACTAAGAATTATGGGACATGCAACATGATGTAATCCATTTTGTGAAGCATTTAAGTAGATGCTATGATAAATGTCTCATGTTATAGGGCAAAACAGGGTAGAATAAAAATCTTGACAGCGAATGGAAAATAAGCCGGGCCCTCAGAGCCTGTGCGAAGCCTGGCCGCCCCACGCTTGCTCTTTCTCTCTCTCCCTCCACAGACATGCCTCGGTGAGTTTAATGAGGATGAAAAATGTTCATACTAAAACATGAAGCAACACCTCACGCTCATTCACACTCATGGCTGAACGCAGTTTTAAGCCAGGTAGATGTAAAAATCCAAACGGTATGGAAAGTCAGCTGACCACATCCTATGAGCTGCTCCCATAAATTAACAAGAGTGGTTTGCAAACCAAAATAGTGAAATGTATGTTAAAAAAATTAAAATGAAGCCTGTATAGGGTTATATAGGAGATTACATAGAGTGAATTCAGGTATATGGGGTGTTCTAATGCATTATATAAACCGAATTGGCGCACAATTATGCTTATACAATGCATTCTTAATGCCTTTTAATACAACTTATCAGTTATGAATAATTATGACTAGTTTTAATGCACTATATATCTTATCTAATGGTTACACCCTTAAAAAAAACAACATTCTATCAACACCAAATTTCATGTTGTTTTATAATGCATTATAGTCGTTAAACATGACTAAGCAAGGTATTGTGAATTAATCTGCACTCAAAATACTGTAATAGATACAGGCTTCGTACAAAGTGCTACTGAATATTGGTAGTATTGGTAATTAGCTTCTGAGCAGAGAGCGCTGGTGTAGATCTCTGTAATTCCTCAAAAACACAAGGAGGAATCACTGAGACACATGCGGAGCGATCCAAAGCCTGCAGGGAATTTCCACACTCTTCTGTGTGATTAGGTCTGCCTATAACCAGCAATCACACAAATACCAGAGCTCCAGAGAGAGACACTCACTCAACACACAACAACACCCTCTGCAAAGCGCTGGGTCATTCTTTCTCTGATCTGCTCCCGGTTATCACAGCGTTCCTTCTTTTTGTTTTCTTAGGGAATTCTCCGGAGTGCTCTGCGCTGAGAGGCCAGCTCCTGTACTGAAGGACATAAATCGCGAGAGGGCCTGTGATAGCGAGTGTGTGTGTGTGTGTGCGAGGGGTCTGTGTTTAGTCTAAGCGGGGAGATTCAGCCACAGTGAAGATAACTGAGCCCCATATTTCAGAGACCCACGGGTGACGGCCAAAACTGTGTTTGTGCGTGAATGAGATAGCAGACGGGAAGAAAGCGACAGAGATGAAAAACAGGATGGGCGTCATCAATCAGCTGTTTGATTTTAAAAGCCCAAAAGAGCTGCTCGTCACATTTATGTCCTCATAAGAAAGTCCATCAGCTGTAATTAAGAGCATAAAACCATAAAGTACTTTATAGATATGCAATGCATATGACTGCAATAAGATCTACGGTGCCAAGGGTGAGAATGGCACGCGAATGGGTGTTTTCTTGGCATTGCCCATGTGAGCGTGGGAATACGTTGTTAAAGTGGCTCCACATTGCCACATTAAGCTTTAGTTAATTATAGATGCAATAAGGTGAATCTGACAAAACATGTTAAGTACATGGGAAACAGAAAATTATATTTTGCTTTAAGAAAACAAACAGATATTATGACTATGTTTCATGACAATTAAGCACATTTTAAATCCTCATTACCATAATGCAAAAAAAAAAAAAAAAAACAGTAATGTGGTAAAAAATAAAAATTTAAACAAAGTTATTTACTTCAATTTAGTGTTTAATTTACTGACTTCAATTTATGAAAAATTAAATAAAATGTTTTACATTTATTTAACTTTTATTTTGGATTTTTGGGGATTTTTAAAACTGTAATACAGTATTTTTTTGTGATCAGAATCTCGTGAAAAATATGATTAAGAATAATATGAATTACAATAATAATAATAATAATAAAACTATATCATAATAATAATATTACTTAATTGAAATGCCTTCAGAATTTTGAGAGAAAATGTGCTTCGTTTTCATGAAAATAATGTAGCTTCATTCCTTTTTATGCAATATATAATTTCTTATGATTTTGGCGTACAATGTGACCTGAATGCATTTTTATGAAATTCACCCAAATACATAAACCCGTCTTTTAGTCTAACTCATTCAGAGACAAACAAACATGAATCTCTGGAGAACATTATTCTAGTACTAGTTACAGCTACTAGAGTTGCAATCAAATCTGGGTAAAGCGCACGTTTGGCCCCACAACACGTGGCAGGTTCCCTCATAACCAGGGCATGGGCATGAGGAGAGGTGGTAGGGTGATACGGGAGCGTGTGAGAGAGAGAGATGATTATATTCGCTGTGATCTTGTGCTGTTTGTCTTGTCTGTGGGGCTTATCGTGCAGAGAGGAGTATGACTAACACAACACAGCAGGTCAGAGCCATAAACTACACACAGGCATGAATGAGGGAGGGATGAGGAGATATAGAGAGAGAAGAGCAGAGGGCACGTTACGCCCAGTGTCATCCACAGGGGAAGTCGACTCTGGACTTTAAAGCAACGGCCGAACACGTTTATCACAAGTTGAACGAGGTTGTATCTTATCACTCCAAAAAGGGACACCCAATGGCAACGGATATAGACCCATATAACCATAAAGTGAAAGAGGATACACCTGCCGGCTGTGCTAACAGAGACGCCCGGGTCTGAGGATGATGATATGAAGCCAAGCAAAGAGAAAGACAGGAGCATGATGGTACATGCGAGATGCTTGGGATCAAAGCTTGATGATATCTCAGAAAGCAACCACAAAAAACAACTTCCAACTGTTCAAAAAAAAGAGAGAGTGGAATAAAGCAAGAGGGTATATCTAAACAGCTACTCTTATTTGACCTTACCCTTCAAGAAAAACCTTGTCGAGCAAAATCGAGCAAACTGAAAGACTACCGCCAGTCTTCATCCCAGTGTGAGACCACATCGTTTTCAAAGTACGGAATGAGTGATAGGTACCTATTTTCCTATTCCAGTGATGTGTGGCAGCTGCTCTCTGATGATGAGGCACTTCTGCATCCACAACATCTGCGTCTGCAATACACCCTCTGTTTTACCGCCCTCGGCATCATCAGAGAGCTATAGAAAAACACGAGCAAACCAAACCTGCCACATGCAAAGACAAATGTTAGCAGCAATAAACCTACAACTTCCAAGGCAAATAATTTTCTTCCTCTCACCTTTAACAGACACAAACCAGGGCTGTGGTTTCTTTAGCTGGTGACAGGTGCATACGGGATAACATTACCCATATTGTCCGTTTTGTAACTTTCATGAACGAGACTTGGGGAGGAAATCGGCCAGTAACCAAGTCAATAGTAAATTCCCAGATGGTGGGGGTTGCAGTAATCTAAACCCGCTACTGACTTCGATAGTAAAAGTAGGCTATGTTTAAGTCCACGCGGACTGTCTGCTGGCACAACCGGAGCATTAACCAAGTTTTGAGTGAAACCAGATGGTTCGAGAGTGCAGGAGTTTTGCCCTGCGCGAATGACCCATAATTTAACGTCAGTAACAAAGCATCTAGAAAAAAGGGAGAGGAGGAGGGAGGGGGAAAAAAAATCTAAATTGCTTCAAAACGGTTTCAAAATCCTGCAGCTTTTAAAAGCTGTGGCAATAGTGTATATCAAGATAAGGAGACTATTTCCTGACCCTCATAGAGAGAACTTCACCTCCCGCAGGATGGGTTTAACTGAATGAGTGAACATGTCTTATAATACTAAGCTTCCTGCCGCCCGTTTCCCTCTTTCGGTTTCTTCTTCCCCATGTTTATGTGAGTGTAAACGGGATTCTGAAGGTGCGGAGGGGATGAATGTGGTGGTAGGAGAGGAGAAGGAAAGCCCACCATTCGCACACCCCGAAGCCAATCCAAGCGTGCACTTGACTTGTGAGCTGTCAGTCTTTCCCGTATGTGTCTGTCCTTTGATTTGTGCATGTGGGTGAGGGTACGAGAGTTTGTGTCTGTGTGCTGGCATTCTGTGAAACACAGAAGAAAGGGAAGGAGAAGCAGGAAGAGTGAGCTCCGTGATCCGGTCCGGTCCGGTCAGCAGGACTCCTCCAGAGCGTTGACCACTTGCTCCAGGATGTCCGGGCAGTGATCGGCAATCTGTTGCAGGACGGAGTTTGCATATTCCTGTAGTTCGGCACTCTCTCGTTCACACTGCTCCAGCTCGGATTCCAGCTGTGGAACCAGAGAGAAACAAGTGTTTGTTAATATTAAATTTTTTATATCCATCATCCTAAATCATTCTATTTTTTGAGCTTTGCTGTCTAATATATAATGACTTTATTCCTCATATGTTCAATTTGGCTGCAAAGTGCACATAATATTCCACAAATGTGTTGCTGCATAGAGTTCTGGAGTAAAAAAATTAAAGCATTCAATGTGAATTTGGTAATGGTTGATTTTTCAAAAAAAAATTTGCTGATTTTAGTGAAAAATCTGCGGAAGTTTGTGCAATGGGTTTAATTTTGGTAATGTGTGTTGAAATTAAGAGTGCTAGACCTTTACCGGTAGATAATAGTTAGACATAATTAATATGACAAAATATTTAATAAACAAACACTGAACGAGAGGTTAAATGAATGCTATATATAATCTCTAAAAATGTCTAAATGTCTTATGCAATATATAAGTTTAGAATTTTTTTAATAAAAAAACAAGAGAATACTGATTAAGTATATGATTTTGTGTATCAACTGCATTATTACACTTTTAAACACACACACACACACACAGTCTCTGACTAAGATCCCACTGAACCCAGACTGTCCCGGGACCCCGTCCGTGGCCTCTGTTTGGCCCTATCTGGACAATCAACGTTTCGTGGCGCAGTACCGCTTTTAAATTGCTTTTCGGATTTGAACACGAGCCACTGAACCAAAGCCCATAGAAAGTGGAATATTTCACAAAAACCCACAAAAGTATTTTCTTTGGCTCTCCTGGCCTATGAACGCCAACTTTAACAAGGTTAATGATAAAGACATCTGTAACAATAACTGGAAGTAATATTCATACATCATAAAATATGCTTCCCTTTCATGTGTGTTTTTGTGTAGGTTTGGAACGTGCAACTATTTCATAATTAATGAATCAAAACATGCCACGGTGGGTCACCGGGGGCAGGCGGAGTGATCCGTCAGACGGGTGTTTGCACAACTGCAGCGCAAACATGCTGGGAAGAGAAATCCCGCCACCTTCACGAGTCACACAGCTAGTGCTAATGCGATGCTAGGCGCTCACAGGGTTTGAAAAGGGAGGAGATGGATATGCCTGAGAAAGTCTTTCCATCTCAAGGCCTCTGAGCAAGGACTGAGAAAATGGGGCTGATCAAATCCTGGATTTCGGACCTGGGCAGGAATTAAGAGGGCATAATAATGCAAAACACTGACAAAATGCTATGCAAGAGGGACAAAATGGCTAGTTGAGAAGTCCAATTTCATAAGGCAAAGATGTAGATGAAAACATGCATCGAATTATCAAAGTAGATGTATATAGTCAACAAAAAATGTTAATTCAAAGGCTGATACCGATACTGAGATTACAGTGTTGCTGGTGTCCAATATAATGCTGATATATACATTACCAAATGCAAATGTTGCCTAAATGAAATGACCACCTATTTCACATAATATTTTCTCAAAGTGCACCAAATTTAGTACAAGTTGATGCAAACGGCTGATGATCATCTCCAAAACCTACATATCGGACTATCACTGCTTCGTAAGTCATAAAATGTGAGCACATTCTTCAAAAACGGCATACTCTAAAATAGCGAAATTATTAATCTCAAAGATTGGGAGTTCATTAAATCAATAGAAAGCACTGAAATCGCCCGACGGGTCATTAGGTGAGGGCCGCCCTGGCCCGATTTAACTTCTCATGATCTCGTCACCTGTGACGACACTCCTGGGAGGCTGGAGTCCGATGCGTTGGCCTGGCCAGGAGAAAAGCAAAGATGTGATGGAGACGAACGAGTGAGGGAAAGAGGAGGAGTGTATTGAGTCATGAGAGGAGGGTTAATGAGCCTCATCGGGGGCTGATGTATGGGTCTGCGTGAGGGCGCAGTTTGGCAGAGCGCCACCGCTGTAAGCCCCATTAAGAGCAGACAGTGGAGAACTGGAGGAGATGGAAAGACTGGCCAGGGGGCGTCTAACGCTGCCACACGTGTGGCCCACTAGGGCTAGAAGAATTGAGCAGGCATGTGGAAGTTTGAGAAGACAATGCTACTTTTAGGGTGCTGGCAATCAATGTTAATGGTTACATCATTACGTTACTCCTGCAGAAAGCTTACAGCATTTTACACATCACATGCTTGGTCATTTATTATATTTTTGGCTAATTTGTGCTTTCAACAACCAACAAGAGTGCAGCACGCTCTGCTCTGATTAGAATCCATTCCCTGAAATTTTCCATTAAAGTTGGCAGATTTGATCATCTCCAAAACCTACATATCGGACTATCACTGCTTCGTAAGTCATAAAATGTGAGCACATTCTTCAAAAACGGCATACTCTAAAATAGCGAAATTATTAATCTCAAAGATTGGGAGTTCATTAAATCAATAGAAAGCACTGAAATCGCCCGACGGGTCATTAGGTGAGGGCCGCCCTGGCCCGATTTAACTTCTCATGATCTCGTCACCTGTGACGACACTCCTGGGAGGCTGGAGTCCGATGCGTTGGCCTGGCCAGGAGAAAAGCGAAGATGTGATGGAGACGAACGAGTGAGGGAAAGAGGAGGAGTGTATTGAGTCATGAGAGGAGGGTTAATGAGCCTCATCGGGGGCTGATGTATGGGTCTGCGTGAGGGCGCAGTTTGGCAGAGCGCCACCGCTGTAAGCCCCATTAAGAGCAGACAGTGGAGAACTGGAGGAGATGGAAAGACTGGCCAGGGGGCGTCTAACGCTGCCACACGTGTGGCCCACTAGGGCTAGAAGAATTGAGCAGGCATGTGGAAGTTTGAGAAGACAATGCTACTTTTAGGGTGCTGGCAATCAATGTTAATGGTTACATCATTACGTTACTCCTGCAGAAAGCTTACAGCATTTTACACATCACATGCTTGGTCATTTATTATATTTTTGGCTAATTTGTGCTTTCAACAACCAACAAGAGTGCAGCACGCTCTGCTCTGATTAGAATCCATTCCCTGAAATTTTCCATTAAAGTTGGCAGATTCTGTCTAGTATGGACATAAAATTAAAATTGCGAATGGTTTAGAGTAATTATTAATCTCAAAGATTGGGAGTTAATTAAATAAATATATGCACTGTGTCAGAGTGAAGCGCAGCACTGTTTTCTTGAATTTAGCATCAATGACAAATTTTAAATTCAAAAATTTCCCCCAAATTATGCAGCCCTACTTTCTAGAATTATAAAATATAAAGTATTTTATGATATGTTTGTGTAACTTTTTCTTACTCTCTCCCCCAGAGTAGTAGTTCTACAGTATGCTTGGCTTGTGGTTGTTTTTCTGAAAGGTAGTTTATAAGTGTTTATTCCTCATAGTTCGTATGCAATGAAATTTATGCTATGTATATGCATAAAGTTCATGAATGAAATTAAAAGAGAAGCAACATTACTTATATTGCGTACATCAAGTAACGCATATCTTTACTCATAACTCCCAAAAAGTAATATGTTAACATTAAAGGCTGGACTACACTACACAACTTAACAATCTGAACACTAGATTTTCCTTCACTTGCCAATTTTGTAAATGATTACAGAGAACTGAGCATCATACAGTAAACAACTGAGGTTCACATACTACTTTCACGTCACCCAGAACACAACAAATGCAGAAACATGCGCCTCGTTGCTAGGAGATGCATGAGAAATTAAAACAATGTGTTCTAAATACAGCTCAAAATATCAAGCATGTTTAATATCCTCCAACTGGATGGAATCATAGTTTAAACTTAAAAAAAAAAAACATTTTTGCCTATCATACAAAATCTGCAGACTGGCTTTGACTTTTGTCATCTAGCAATACATCCAGACTGCAAATCAGGGCAAAATTATGTAAAAATCAAAAGTTGTATTGTGTATTCCATTCTTGAGAGTCCTAAGCATTATCCCAACATTGCTGCAAAGAGATCTGAATGTAAAACAAAGTGATTTATACAGCATAACATATTGCTGTACAAGCACTAAATATAAAAGTTCCTTTAAAATGTTATATGCAAACTAATACCTGAACAAATTGAACAGGTGCAGCACGGACACATACAAAGAAGAAGCTCCTCGGTGTGACAAAAGGACCATCCATTCCTGTTTTATGACTGTGTACTTAGCAGAAATCCTCAAAAAAACAGAGTTATAAAGATAATAGATATAGCACTCCATACAGGGAAAGTATCCGTATCTGTCCCCACACCAGCCTTGACCCGAAAACATGAGGAAATTCGAGAAGATGAGAGACAGAGACGAGGGAACAGGCGAGAAAGGAGCGCATTATCATGTGTTATCGTTGCAGATTATTGTCAGGTGTTATTGTCTGCATATGGTCAGCCTCCTCCGCCTGTCTTGATAAACAACAACTACATTAATGAGAGCAGAACAAACCATCAGCGGACCATCACAATCAGACAATGACAGGACAGTCTGGACTGTGCTGACGGCACTGACAATGACTCAGAGAGGATGTGTTTCAACAAATGCTGGGCCACACATTTACGCCTAGAGTGGCACATGGAGATCAAACGGCTGAACTCAAACCCTTCAAGCAAATCCGCTCTCCACATCACCCTGGATGACACAGCCTCATCTCTGCAACGTATACTCATCCAGATCCTCCAATTTAGTGGGACAAGGGGAATGTTAACTAGTAAGTTCTCAACCCCATAGCTAAGGCAAAAACGGCAATCAGGAGCATCCAAGACCATGGCTAACAAGCTCCAATCAAAAAAGAAAGAGAGAGTGTGAAGTAAAGGGGGATCTGGAGTTGTGGATTGACCGCCTTCTGCTAAAGCAATCAAGACTTTGTTTAATAAATCTGCATAACGAAATAACACCATTAGCCTTTCCCTTAAATGTGACACTGCTACAGTGTTTTGAGAGAAAACAATGACTCCTTTAGCAGGAAACGTTGCTCTTTTTATCACGGGACCGTATTAAAAGGTCCTCATAATTATTTTTCGAGGAGGCGGCGGCGCTGATTTTCTCCTCATTTTTAAG